CTGGACTTAGGCTCAGGCCTAGTTGGGTCCACTTAGGGCGCGATTGGACTTGGGGTGTGCCGCGAACTCGTGGGCCAAATTTACACTCCTATATGTAGGCAGTGGTTATGAGATATGTGATTAATGATTATGATATATGTGATGTTGGTTATGAGGCAAATGGTGTTGGTTATGAGATGAGGTTATGACATAAGTGAGTAAAGCTTATAAGGTATATGATTAGTGATTATTAGATATGTGATTTTGGTTATGAGCAAAGTGGTATAGATATAAGTCAAAGGGTGTTTGCTTATGAGATATGTGATTAGTAGTTATGATCAAAGTGGTGTGGTTATGAGATATGTGATTAGTAGTTATGATACATGAGATGTTGGTTATGAGATATGTAGTTAATGGTTATGAGATATTTGATTAGTGATTATAAGATATGTAATTTTGGTTATGAGTAAAGTGATGTCAAAGGTGTTTGGTTATACTATATGTGTTAGTGGTTATGAGATATGATATATTGGTTATGATCAAAGTGGTGTGGTTATGAGTAAAAGGGTTGTTAGTTATGAGATATGTGACTAGTGATTATGAGATATGTGATATTGGTTATGACTCAAAGTGGTTGGTTATAAGATGTGGTTATGATTCATATGGGTAATAGTTATGAGATATTTGATATTGGTTATGATCAAAGTAGTGTGGTTATGAGCACAAGGGTGTTAGTTATGAGATATGTGAATAGTGGGTATGAGATATGTGATGTTGGTTATGAAAAAAAAAGTGTTGGTTATGAGATATATGACTAGTGGTTATGAGATATGTGATGTTGGTTATGATTCAAAGGGGTTAGTTAAAAAATGTGATTATGAGATATGTGATTATGGTTATGAAAAATGTGATATTAGTTATAAATAAAATGGTGTTGGTTATGAAATATGTGATATTAGTTATGAAAAAAATATTGTTGGTTATGAGATATGGTTATGACTAAGTTATGATCAATTTGATTATAGTTATGAAGAAATATGATTTTGGCTTATAACTATAAAAAGTGACCTGTTTAACAGGTCACTTTTAATGATGTGGCTCAATCTTAACCATTGATTTTCTATATACCGTATATTTTTTAACAAAATATACTATAGACTTTCCCATTGTTATTGGTTATGATCAAAGTGGTGTGGTTATGAGCACAAGGGTGTTAGTTATGAGATATGTGAATAGTGGGTATGATATATGTGATGTTGGTTATGAAAAAAAAAGTGTTAGTTATGAGATATATGACTAGTGGTTATGAGATATGTGATGTTGGTTATGATTCAAAGGTGTTAGTTAAAAAATGTGATTATGAGATATGTGATTATGGTTATGAAATATGTGATATTAGTTATAAACAAAATGGTGTTGGTTATGAAATATATGATATTAGTTATGAAAAAAATATTGTTGGTTATGAGATATGGTTATGACTAAGTTATGATCAATTTGATTATAGTTATGAAGAAATATGATTTTGGCTTATAACTATAAAAAGTGACCTGTTTAACAGGTCACTTTTAATGATGTGGCTCAATCTTAACCATTGATTTTCTATATACCGTATATTTTTTAACAAAATATACTATAGACTTTCCCATTGTTACATAGATTGTTAGTTGTTTTTTTGAGAACATTTTTGAAATGCACTCATTTCCATCTGTAACCATTGATCTTGGATTGTGTAATTGTTCTTGTTGTAATTGGCAAATTAAGGGCTTTCCATGTCAGTATGCGGTAGCTGCAATTCAGAAAAGTGTGAAAGATTTGAATGTGTTTATTGAACAGTTTTTCTATGCTGATTTGTATCGAAAATGTTACTCAAAATCTATTACGCCAATACCGACAGTTGGGAAACCTAACTTTTCAATGGAAGTTGCTGTCATTTTACCTTTTTTGAGTAACAGGCTAACTAGGAGGCCGAAGACAAATAGAATCGCATTTCATGCTGAGTTTAAAAAGTTGATTAAGTGCAGTTGATGTGGCCAGATGGGTGATCATAAAAGGAAACTATGTGAGGAACCTTTTGTAAAGAGTTGATGTTGTTAATTATTGAAAAGTGCTTTAGATGAATTTTAACAAAAATTGAAGTGTTCATGATTGTATTGAATTGTTGTTAGAAATGGGTTTTGGAAGTTTTGGAAAAATAGATTTTTCCTCAACTTTGGTCTATTTTTTAGGTGGTAATGCGTTTTATGTTGCGTTGTAATTCACGTAGTATATTTGGTTGCTCAAAACTATTATCAGGTGAATGAAAAATTGAAGCCAAAGTGAGCTCCATGGAAATGAAGTTTTTCGTGGAAATTCCTGTTTGATTTAAGGCTTGTCCCACAGAAGTTTTGGAAAAATAGATTTTTCCTCAACTTTGGTCTATTTTTTAGGTGGTAATGCGTTTTATGTTGCGTTGTAATTCACGTAGTATATTTGGTTGCTCAAAACTATTATCAGGTGAATGAAAAATTGAAGCCAAAGTGAGCTCCATGGAAATGGAGTTTTTCGTGGAAATTCCTTAAGGTTTGATTTAAGGCTTGTCCCACATTGGTTGGTGGGAAAAACTTTTATGGATTTATAAGGCTTGAGTTTGTAACTTGGGGAGGGCCCCAAATTTGTAGAAGGGAGAGGTTATGGACAAATTAGGCTAGACCCATTGGACCCAAAAATAAACACGCGTGTCGCCACCGCTGTCCGTCGGATAGGTCGGCAGGACAGGGCACTGGTGTGGGGTTGGGCTTGCAGGCCCAATATCTATCTTTTTGGGCAAAAAACATTTGAATTTAATTTTATTTTTTGGTAAAATAAAATCTGTCCAGAATTCGAAATTAATTTTGAAAATCTGTCTAGTTTAATTTCAATTTTTGAATTCAAATCTTTTTGCACCTCTTCAGAATTTCTGTACAGTTCCATATCTGTCCAACAAATCCAAATCTGTTCAAACCCAAAACAGTTTTTTATTTGTTTGAAAATCAAACCAGATCTGTTCGAACAGGTACCATACCTGTTGAATTCAAATTGAAAGGCCACCATGCCATCTATAAATTAGCAGTCTCTCATTTGGTTTTTTTACTCAATTTCTGTCTCAAACTCTGCTTGCTCTCTCTGCATTTTGCTGCATTTAATTTCCTGTAAGAAAGAGTGCAAACACAAAGTGTGTTTGTTGTGCAAATAATTTGTAGTGCTGCTATTATTCGCAGTTCATCATTTTATCATGGGAGATAAACGTCCACAATCTGAAAGTACTGTGAAGAGAATGAATCTGTCTTAAGGACATAGTGGTAAATACTGGACTTGATCAGAATTTTGTTCAATAAATACATAAGGTTAGTAATTAATTTACTTTCTGTTTTATTATTTTTTCTGTTTCAGATTTTGATTTTGTTTTTGTAACGAAATAAAAATCTGTTTTTATTTATTTATTTCATATTTTGGTTTGATTTTTGTAATCAAACAATCTCTCTCCTTTTCTTTATTTCTTCTATTTGTTGTTAAGGATGCAAACATAATTTATTCGTAATACAGTAAAGATTGTCCAACAATTGTCTCATTCTGTAACTGTCTAACATGGTGCTTGTTCTGAATGAAAATCAATAGAACAATGGAAGAGGTGCTCATTCTACTCTGAAGAAGCTGAAAATGTGTTTTCTTTAACTTTCAGGTACATATAGAATCATGTGAGGTGGCTTTCGTTTATGGGTCAATATGTTGTGGTTGCATTTGTCAAAATTTTGGTTCGGTCAAATTTACACTTGCGGCTTTCAGTTAATATGTTATTATTTATTGGTCTGAACTGTGTTGGTGTGGAAATGGGTGGAGGCACTGGCTTTGGAGATCATAGCATGAGAGAATGAGAAAGGCATCAAGTTCACTCATATATATATATATTAGGGGCAACTGTTCGCTATTGTCTCTGTCTATGAAGATTTCAATTTTTAACTAGTTTCCTTCGTGTGGTGTGGGTTGTGTATATCTCTCAGTTTTCAATTAAACTTATTCGACTTGCTCTACTGTGCCCCTGTTACCAGCTTAGTTAGGTTTTGTCCAATTTTTTTCTCCTTTTTCCATGCTTGAAATTTGAAGAGCAAAAGCAAGAGCACAAAAGGCAGTGGGTATGGGCTTCTTATTTACACAAATAATTAAATCATAAAATCCAATAATGGGAATTTATCCTACATGTTTGTAATTATAACATGAACACACTAGTTTTTATTCGACATGTCAGGGACCCGAAGCAACTTAGGGACAGATAAGTAGCAGAACAGGAGGATGCGCTTTTGGGTTGGAGCAAAATCTTGTATTGTGTGGTGGGGTGAGCATGCCGGTTTGATTTGAAGGAAGCAATAATTTGACACTAAATATGAAGCACAAGTTATTAGATGGCAGCAAGGGACTAGCAATGTTTGTGATCTTTCCATTATATATATATTGTACATTGTACGGAATACAGGCCGAAATGTTTATATTTAAGATAAATGTCTACTGTATTATCATTGAAAAATTGGACAGTTATCAAATATGAAATACTAATTTTGTGATCAAAACCAGTTGTAATGGGATAGTTTATATGTGTGAGGGTATTTTTGTAATTTAGCACACTCAGTTGACCCTGCACATCGAGATTGGAAGCTACCCTCTATTACCCTCTTAGGTAAGGATTGCATACATGTTTTAAATGTTTTGAAAAAGGTTTTTTGGAAAAAAGAGTTTGAATCCCATGCAAAATTCTGTCTAGAAAACTTGTGCAATCCTAGCCCTATCAAAGTGGGGATTGCGTTTTTAGCAGTGATCAGTGATCAATTGGCCAACAATCGCACTTCAAGCAGCAACAAGTGATCACTGAGCAGTCAATCGGTAAGCGAGTGCTTTTTTATTTCTCATGAGTGTTTGGACTCTGATTTTTTACCCTTTCAAGTTTTTTCCGTAAAATCTTATGTTCATGTGCACTTGATTATTCATGTGTTAATTGGGTTAATTAACTAAATCGAACCTAAAAATTGAAAATTTTAATTGAATAGCCTCTTCACCATTGCAGGCATGTAATATTCACACTCCAATATTTTCAATTTATGTATGTAAAAATGTATCAGTGAGTGACAAGTCCAAGTGCTCCAAAAAATGAACTCTCTCCATTTTGGGTAGCTGAGTTGTAAAGCAAAGAAAATTCCTCAAGTTTTGTTCTCTTCATATCTCTCAAGTATAAAGATGTTGCCCTTATCATCTCTCCCGATCCTCAGGGTATCATCAACATATCTACGTGCCACAGCCACAATTAAGGAACCAGTATCTTGTCCACATGTTCATATTTAAACCTGGCTATATATATATATATATTAGCTAGTTAAAAACCAAATTAATGTAAGGCGAGTCGATGATCACAAGCAGAGCAGAGCAGAACAAAAAAAAGGATACGTGATTTCAAGCCAGCCCTCCGGATTGAAGATGTCAAGCAGAAGATCATAGTTTTTCCGGAAGACATTCATCAACTACAAATTGGTTTCCCAAACACAGCTGAATTATATTAATTGGTTTTTCATTAAAAATAATAATAAACTTGTAATTGAGCTTGAAAGAGCAAAACAGAAGAGCTCGTCCAAAGCCTCTTTGTGTGAGATTGCACGAAGTGCATTAAGTGGTTAGTTCCTTGACATGGATGGGAGTTTTGAACCTTGCATACCTGGTTCGGGGTGATCGTGGAGTTGCAGTATTTTATGTCAACTCTCTGTGTAAGATTTGGTACAAAAATGGTTTTTGGTTATTAATGTCATGAGATAAAGTCTATTGAATTTGTTGAAGAAACAAGAAATATGTATATATATTTAAAAGAGGAAGAGGAAGAGCAAGTTGAGAAGAGACTTAACTGAGTTGGATGCAATATTGAAGGAGGCTTCAATTTTGAGCTGTCCATTGAACAAATTCAAACCCCTTACATTGAACATGATCGCATTAATTGCTTTACCCTCCATTTTCCCACCACAAAAATGTTCAAACTTTAGTTAACCACTCACAAAATTATATCAAAACATTTAACGATATTATCTACTTTTTTTTAATTTTTAATTTTTTTTATATGAAGTCAAATTTAGACTTGTTTTGGATCGTATTGATATTTTACTCTATATTCATATGAAGGGGTGTACAACATACCTGTAAATTGAGAAATTGAATCAACCCAACTCTTTTGGGTTGGTTTGGTTCGGTTCGGTTTTTGAGTACATTAGTTTGATTTTAGTTTTCAAACCATCAATCCGATAGGATTGGATTGAGTCTCGGTTTAGGGCTTGCTTAAATCAAACCAATTCAAGAACCGAACCTATACATACATATATATATATATATATAAAATGCAAAATTCTATTTATATTGAAATGTTTTCATGGTATATTTAAGTTTGAGTTGGACTCTACTATGCTATTTACAATTGTTGATAGGTATTAAATAATATATATATATATATATATATTATTTGTGTTATGTTTAAATATTAAATACTTGTTTATTTTAATTATTTATTATTAATTGATTTACTTATTTTCTGTGTGGTGGAATTGTGGTTTCAGCTCGCACCTACCTGAGCTATATCGGATTTGATTGGGTTGATTCTAGTGCATAATTAGTTTGATTTTGAATCCAAAAATTTAAAACCGATCATAATTAGATTAATTTCAAATTTAATATCAATCCAAATTTAATTTCGATCCAAATCAAACCGACCAATAAACACCACTATTCTTATGTATGCACCTAGAAAGCCATGGATTGCATGAATAATATAGACTTGGCTTAATTTTAGGGATAGTCGGTGGAAAGTCCACACCCACAGAGTCATATATTATTGTTATTATTATTTTGGACAGGAAGTCATATATTATTTGGTCTAAAATTTTAAGGCTCCGTTTGGTGGAGTTTTCAAAATATAGTTCCACACTCACTTTTGAGTGTGGTGTTTGTTTAGGATTTTTAAATCATAATTCTACAATTTGAATTAAGTTTTGAAAACTCTTTTCAAAACTCATAACCAAACAAATTTTCTTACTTCACATGTCAAATCAAACTTTCAAAACTCAATTCTACACTCAATTCCACACTCAATTCAACACTTTATTCAAAAACCATAACCAAACAAATTTTCTACACTCAAATAATAATTCTAAAACACACAAACTCAAAATACAACTCATATTCTCAAATCATAGTTACAAAGCTCTACCAAACGGAGCCTAAGTGTTTTTTATGATGAAGAAGTATTTAATGGAATTATTTAGTGAGAAGGATAAATTATTTTTTAAATATATATTTTTTCAAATTATGCCTTTACTGTCAGAAAAGTTCGTCGAAAAAGTTACAGGTAGTAGTTGGTGGCAACAGTGGTAGTGGTGATGATATAGACATATAGATAGGTTCGATGGACAGATATGTGACATATAGACAAATAGTAAAATAACACATGGATATATAGATAATAAGAGGACAGGAAATTTTATTTCCACAGATCTAATTACCTCAGTGATGAAATATTATATTAACGGTAATTATACCCTAAACTAAATGACCATAATGGACATCCACTAGCACCTATAATATTATATGAAAATATTTTCTATACAGATCTTTTAAAAATAAAAAATCGCAATATACATCTTTTAAATAAAAAAAACTAAACCCTATTTTTTTCCATTGTTATTACTTTGCTTGCAACACACTCTATACTTCTCTATTGCTTGCAAAGCAATACTTTTATAACAACTTTTATATTGCTTTAATCTCTATATTTATACTCTATTAGTGATGAAAATGTTAGTTTTTTGTGCAGAACTTTTTTCTTTTTTTTTCCTTTCGCAATTTTCAATCTGACAACTAGTGCCGAATTATTTCATTATATTCGGACATTAACTGCCGAAAGTTTTCATTATTTTTTTTTTGAATAAATTTGTCGAACTAATCACTTTTATTTCGGAAGTTAAATTTTGAATTAACTGTATAATTTTGGAAAATCAATGCTGAAATCCCCAAATCGAAAAACATAAAAAAAAAAAAAAAAAAAAATTAAAAAGTGAGGGTTTTATGGCAATGGAGTGCACAGAGATCTGAAAATAGTATAAGTAATAACAAAATAGAAAAATGCCTCATCTTCAACAATATTTTGAAGGATTTCCAATAGTATTTTTAATGGAGGTTCAACAGGGTCTTTATTGGAAGACTTTGTCTTCACTCCACACTATGGTCTTGAATGGTAGTCTACAAATTGAAAGTAGGGTAACTCAACAAGTATGTGAAAAAGAGAGTTGAATGATGTGTGTACAATGATAATGAGTAAATGGTACAATTGTAACTTTCATTGTGTGGATTAAGAAAATTAATTAATAATCAAATTTATAAGTGTGTTTACTGAGAGAATATATGCACAAAGGTAATTAAATGTGTGGACATAGAATTTCTCTAGAGGACAAATAAGTGAACAAATATCTAAACTATGTAGGGATAAAATGATTTTTCAAATTATAATTGTTCTTTTGAGTCCAAAAGAATAGAATTTGAACTTATTGGCTCAAATTTTTTTAAAATAGGCCTCTGAGGTGAGTACCCTTATTTTTATTTTATTCCGTTAAACTGTTGCCTTTTTAAAAAAAATATATATATTTCATCCTTAAATTAAATTATTAATTTTATCCATTTAATTCCTAATTTTTCATATATATATATTTTTTTATATTTCAGTTACTATTGTCCAATTGAAGACATTTATCCACATCAGTATCTGTTAGAACTTAATTTGACGAGTAAGAAGGCCATTTCCAAATTTGGACAACTCAAACCGTAATAACCAAATACTCATTTTTTTTTGGAAAGTGATTGAGACCGCCTCCAATCAATCCCCCCAACACACACACATGTGACGGGTAGTGATTGGAGAAGAAAGAAAAAAAGAAAAAAGAAAAATTGGCCATTTAAAGAGAGAGGAGGTTAAGGGGGTGCCTCTTTGAGAGGGTCCAACTTATTTTCCTTTTTTTTATTCACTAGTTTGTAATAAAGAGTGGAGAAGAACATGTGTATTTGCTTGTAGGTGTAAGTAAGAATATGTATGTCTAATTATATGATTTAAGTTATGCAAATTTTAAAATTATATTTTTGCCTATTAAACTTATTGATTTGGATAAACGGTTCGTAATTGGATTATATGAATTAAAATAAAAAATTTAGAGACTAAATAAATAAAATTGATAATTTAAAAAATAAAAATAAAATTAACCCAATCGAATTGTGCTTTGGAATTTAATTGAAAGCCATCCTAGTAAAAATATGGATAAATTAGACTGATAGTCTGTACATTTTGTCTTTTTTGTCATTTTAGTCGCTACACTCAATTTTAACTCTTAATTTTGAATTTTGTGTCAATTTGATCAAATTGATAAAACCGTTAGTGTTTTTGAGATAAAAAAAATTATAGCTGAATTGGTTGAAATTAACTCACTGAGTTGAACAATTTTAATTTTGTCTTGAAAAACATGATATATGTCACTTATGTGCATATTTTTTATTAAAAATGCTAACAATTGTAAGAAATTGGAGTAAATTGAGACAAAGTCATAAATTCAGGGTTAAAATTGAGCCAATTAAAACTATAAGAACAAAAATGACATAAAGACCAAAATACAAGGACTATTAACGTAATTTGTCCTAAGAGTATAATTCAGATGGCCTCCAATTAAAAAATCCAAGGTATATATATATTTTAGCCAAAAGCAATTTTTGAATTTATTATTTTTAGAAAATTTTTATATATATTTTTTATTTTTTAAATTTACCTAATTTAAACATACTTAAAATGTAAATTATTTATGAAGAAATCTAATAAGAATTCAATAAATGCAAAAAAAAAAATGAAAATATACTGAATTTTTGTATTAACTAATTTTTGTATTTTTCGATACAAATTTTATACTTTTTAAGTGTATCTAGATTAAGTGAATTTTAAAAGTAAAAAATATTAATAAAAATATTAAAAAATACTAAAAAAAAAAAAAAAAACTCGGAAACTGTTTTTGAAAAATTAAAAACCAAATAGAGTGGAGATGTTTTTAGTTTATTGTGAGTAATGATATTCACACTTTATTATAAATTTTATACATTCTATTTTTTTTTTGTTTGTATCTCCCCTAAAAAAATTGTAAAACCTTGTTTAATTAGGATGGGTAAAAAACAAGCAAAGACAAGTCTGAGAAGATATGCTACCTGACTAACATCAATGGTTTGGAAGAAATCCCCCAAACTGATGAAATCTCTTAATCCAAGCTTAGTTCTTTTTGATCCCAGGATTGTTATCGTACTATAAACAAGCTTCCAGCATCCACCCAGCTTTTTTCCAATTTTTTTTTTTTTTTTAGGAAAAAAATACAAAAGAAAAAATTATTTTAAAATTATCAACCACCAAGTTGAAAATGAAGTTGAGTTTGTAGTCTAAAAAATTCATAATAAATTGGAGGACAGAGAAGTAATGGGGAATAAGAAGTTTCACCTTGTCTAGAAAGAGGGTAGGGTCTGGAGTTGGATTCATAGACTCCAGCAGCTTGACCAGACCTTCAATCTCAGATTTCTTTGCAGATGGAACTCCAAAAATACCTCTGTTTATACCTTTGTTTGAAACATTTTTAAATTAACCATTGTATCAAAAAAAAGAAAAAAAAAAAAAAAGTTGTGGTTGGAAACTTATATGGGTATCTATGGTATACCTTGTAATGCCAGAGAAAGGTTTTGTTTGATAAGGGTTGGTGTGGGGGTTGATGATGATGATTCTGCTACTTTATGTTGTTGTTGGTCTTCTTCACTTCCAAGTAAGCAGCCAGAAGAAGAGCTCCTCCTCCTTCTCCTCTGTTCTCCAACTCCAAATCTTGTACTACTTTTCTTCTTCATTGATTGAGTGGTTGAGAATGGCCTATGACTTCTCATCATCATCAGCATCATCATCTTTGTCATACTAGTGCCTATTTGAGGGACCACTTGGGAACAAGATGGGATTGGTGGCTGCGCAAGCTTTGCAGTTGTAGCAGCAGCCATGGGCATTCCAAATTCCAATCCCTAAAACCTCACAACACATTCACAGAGCCTCTTTATCCTAGCTATCAATCTCCATCTTTCTTTCTTTTTGGCAATCCATAGAATAGATATAGATCTGGATTTAATGTACTTCTTTTATACAGATGAGATTTTCATTTACATTTGCTATTACTTAATAGACTAGGCCTTTTATGACATGATGAGGATATGAGGTGGGGGTTTCTGCATTTGACAATACTTGAGGATGAGGATAGGTTGTTAGTGCACGTGGTTGAGATTTCCTACGCAAGCCTAATCTCTAAAAAATATGGCATATTCAATCACTATTCAACTCCTAAAAAAATAAAAATTAAAAATTAAAACCAAACTAGTTCTTATTCATATATGGATAAAATTTATTTTATCTCGCATAATTTCACTCTAAAAATACTTTATCTCCTATCATTTACAAATCGCTAATACACCTACTCGCCATTTTTATCATTTTGCAAATGACAAATGACAGAAAGTGTTCTGTACACACTGAAATATAGAGTGGGCAATGAAAAAAATTGCAAATCAAAGTCAAAATGCTTGTTAAACGACATATATGCCCTTCATCATCTTCTTCTCCAACGACTATGAAACCCTGACCAAACATAATATTTATATGAGAACAATATATACACAAGGATTCATTGAATTATTTTGGGTTCATCAAACATACTTTTGATTCATGGAACAATATTAACTAAACTCATCAAAAGCCAATATGAAATGGAAGTAGGGAGATGAAGTAATTAAACGTAGCAATCAAATACATTATAGCAATAATGCAACGAAGCAACCAAAACTTTTACAGTAACAAAGCAATCAAGGGATAGGGTCGTCAGCATTGATCGGCAATGGGAAAGGAGGCCGAGGTGATGACGGCGATGGCATTCCTACTCTAGCAATGACCTCTCGCTAAGGCCCCTCTTGTCCTCTTCCCAAGCTCCCTTTTCGATCATAACCAAAATAATAATCACAAAAAGTCATAACCAACATCACTTCAAGTCATAATTAACACCACAATAATTCATAATCAAGTCATAATTAACACCACAATAGTTTCATAACTGAGATATATGATACACATAGAGAATTTCCCTAAATGTTATGTAATGTTAGGGACAATTATTTATGTCAAAAACATTTTTTTCCACACATTCTACTGCATAAGATAGATACTGTCTCAGGAAATTTTGAAATTACAGTACTAACTAGCTATAAGCCCATTTCTTAAACAACAGATTGAGTTTTTTTGGAGGATTCTTGCTGCTGTTTCCATTGCTCCGGGGTTAGAGCCTTCTTAATTGAGAGCGCATGGATTTCTTTCATCTCCTCTGCCAATGCAGCATTTACCATTCGATGCCTCTCCAGCAACCTCTTACCTTCAAATTTTTCTGATACAATTTCTATTGCAAAGCTTGCACCACACCTGATAACAGCATTAAAACTCTTCTTAGTAAAAGATAATGACAAGAATGACCTCAACATTCAAAGGGCAGCTATTGCCTAGAATGAAAAAACTTACCCTCCTGATGTATCAATTACTTCCTGAAACACAAAACAAATACAGAGATTAGTTCATGAAGAAAAACTTTCAAAGATAAAAATTTACAAATGGAGAACATCAAAGGATTGCGGTAAAAAATAAAGAGAGTAAAACTTATTAAGAGTGCATATGGTAGCAACTCCAAGGAAGAATAGTTTTATGGCTTTTGATGGGTAACTCTGCACATAGCTGTGGTAATTTTCTTCATGTTACACATAATATAATAATCTTATTACTGCAGGGTTGATCTTCGCAAATGCCAATTCTTCTGACATACCACCCTACATTACAATTCTTTGGTCTCCTCTGTAAAATAGACAGTAGTTCAACCCAACAGATTTCACAATTGATCCAATAATTCCCATAGGTGTCATATACATGCCCTACTTTTAGGGAGACTTTACCTAAAATTACAGAGAGGATAATAAAACATATATAATGTTTGGAAGGGCTTTTCAAAGTCCTTTCCCGAGTATAGAAGTCATTTTGAATAACTCTGTGTTTCATGAAGTCCACAGAAAGGTATTCATCCAAAAGTCATGGATTTCGGAAGCCCCATTCAAAGAAGCTAGCTCAGGTGGCTTCTGAAACAGCATCCAAATCCACTTCACGTGAAGTGCACAGCCACTAAAATGACATCCACTTAAATACCCATGCTATCCTTATTTGTTATAACAAACTCCTAGTAATAACCCCTTGTATTATGATATTTACAATCCCTAACCTATAAATGTACAAGTAATTTCATCCATTGGTCTCTACTTCTCCACAGAATAGAAGCCTCTCCATCTCTGCAATTGCAATTTGTGTGGATCCACGTCACAGTGGTCTTTACTTCTTTACAAATTGATGTAGGACAACTTGCTGGATTTTTAAACAGAAGTTATTTAAGGGCCAAATAGCGAGTAATTTAGGGTTTGAATGATTAAATTGAAGGCTAAGAGTTAGGGAAATGGATTAGGGTCGATTTGGAGGTGATAGGATTGGGTTTTGGGACTGAAAAGTGCACTTTTAGTGGACTGTGAATAGTAACCCAAGAATAGTATCTTGGGTATGTTTGCAAAAAAGAAGAGAAGTAGAAGAAGAGGTGCTTCACCCTCGCAAGGGTTAGACCAATCACACACAAACACAATCTCAAATTCTCATAACATCAACTTTTCTATGGAATCATTAAGATTTGAGATTACACACATATGTATAGGCAAAGACTCTCCTACTTCGATAAGGACTATGATTCAAATTTGGAAACTCATAATATTTTGCAACAACCAATATTCTAGACCAACTAAGACTATGACTTCCAATTCCAATAATAATAGAAAATTTTGATCACTTCTAATTCTACTATAACTTCAAAATAGGAAGCCTGAAACTTTTTAACTACTAAAATAATTCTAAACATAATAAAACCCATATATAATGACCAATTAAATAACTTGACCTAAAATAAAATCCATGGATGACCCCCTTACAGCCAATGTCCAAGAAATTATGAAATTACTTAAACATCCTTAATTACTAAACACTACCATGGACACTTCTTTTTTGACCAAAAAAGCTTCTTGTCGATCATGGGACTCTTTTGTTTTGTGCTTCCAAAGCCTATTTTACTTGTTTAGCCATCCAATAGAATCATTTGTTTAATCAAGTTTTGATTCATTCTGACTTTAAACAAATTAAAAAAAGTCAGCTAGTTAATCTAGGTTAGTTTTAGGGTGGAGGTAATTTGGTGCAGTCGGTGCATCTTTCCAGTGAGAAATAAATTTATTGTTATTTGTATACTGCCTACTCCTAATGAAGTTATAGCTTTGTAGAGTGGGGGTTGTTGCAAGCTATGTTACATGGACTCTTCAAAATAAATCAAATACCCGTGTTACGTATCACTTGGATAAGGGTGTGGGATATGTGTCCAATATTTTTCACCAAACATTTCTTATATAATTATATTTAGCACTCCCATTATATATATATATTGTTGCATAATTGCTGTAACATATGTAAAATGCCTTTTTGACATTGTTTGTTACAAATAACACTATTTTATTTAACATAATAGATTAAAAATATAAAAATATGACCCCCTCTAATGCAGGACGGTGCTGAATTATGAAAACAGAGGTCATTTGCAACCTTAACAGTGAGTAATTTAGGGTTTAAAGGGTTAAATTGAAGGCTAATACATAGGGGAAGGGATTAGGGTTGATTTGGAGGTTACTGGATAGGGTTTTGATGTTGAAAATTACACTTTTAAAGGGCTGTGAATAGTAACCCAAGAATAGTAAATTGAAATAGAAAAGAAAAAGAAAGAAGAAGATAGGCTTAGGAATCACTCCTAGAATCCCTTCATCCAAATATCATTACTTCTTTGAATTTAACCTTCGTTGAGCTTTTTATGCTCCTCCTTGTCGAGTCCACGAATCCCTAAATTTTATATTTAATCGATCCGACCTCTAGACCCATACCCAAGTCCATGTAACATAGATTTATAATGGGGATTTAATCAATCAATAGGTTGTATCCTTGCATATATATATTGATTGATTGTACCACTACTATATATAATTCAGTTCAGGTAAATCTTTTTCCAAATATAAATTTACTAGGTGGAAGCACTTTTTGATGCCAAAGGACGTTTCGAAAAAAACATTTACCAAAAATATGAGAATAACTTTCAAGTGCCAAGCAAGACCATAATGTTTAAAAATTTCTGGGAAATATTTGTTTTAGGAGTTTATGGATGGACACACTTCTCCTACTAGTGGGTGTACTTGCATTTTCTAGGAATCATATCAATTATGATTTCTAAGAAACATTATACAGTGAGGATGGGTTTAATAGTTGCAAAGCCAGCTAAAGATTGGATTCTAGCAGTCTTTAGAAGTCGTCTTTCCTGAACTGATCACAGTTACAGTTTTCAGCATAAAGGAATTAAGCTAAACCAATTAAAAGGGACACAACTAACTTAGCCAATGCCAGAGTAAATCCCCAAACTGTTCACATAGAACTGTAGATTGCCCGTTTTGTGACAAGGCCAGAGGTCCATGAAAGAATCATTTTGGATATTATTGAGAAGAAATTGACCAACATATGATAGATTCCAAAAACGAAAAAACATTAACTATGCAATAGTACACTAGAAAACTAGAGTAGACTAGCATTTGACACATGAATATCAGAAGGTATATGTGCCTGCCAGAGTTCAAACAGCCAAAAAAAAAAAAAAGAACAAGAAAAAACAAGACTAACAAATAAATAAAATGACTCTGAGAATAGTGGTTCTTAGCATGTGAAACAAATCAATATCAGACCAGTTAGTACTGCCAAAACCAGCCAATAATGACTCTGAAGGGCATAGAAAAAAAAGGCCAGACAAGATGTACACGGTGGAAAACTAGACGAGCACGAATATCTCACAAAATCATCGGACAAAGGATAAATGCATTGCATATCAATGAGATAGTCTAAGATGAATTTATTGTCCTTTTTGATAGATTAACATAATAACTATAATATAAAGGATACAGGTAAATGCAAACAATTGAAAATTAAATTAGTTCACCATTCCAATAAATAAGTCACTCAAAGCAAAGATAAATGAGCTCACCATTCCATTTGAATCTAAAATCAATGAGTTCACTGTTCCAATAAATAAATCAATCAAAACAAAGATAAATGAGTTCACCATTTCAATTAACTCAATCAAAATTTTTCTTTCATCCCTAAAACTATAGCCCTTTTTTTTTCTTTTTTCTTTTTTCATTTTATACTTAAAACTATTAATTTTATCGTCCTTCTAATTTCAGCTAATGTTGTCCAGTTGAAGATGTCTGTCCAAATCAGTAACATGTCACAATTTGAACAACATAAATCATACAGGCAAAAGCTTATATTTTTATTCACTATTTTGAAATAAAGGGTGGAGAACAAGATGGGTGTTTGGTTGTAGATGCAAGTTATCTGTGTGAATAAGAAGATCTGTGTTTTATTGTATAACTTAGGTTGCCCAAATTATAAAATTACATTTTTTGCCCATTAGGTTAGGTTTACACCCTTACTGATTTGGACACTGTTTCTAATTGTATAAACTGAAATAAAAAACTTCATAGGCTAAATAGATGAAATTCATATTTTAGAAAGGACAAATGGGATAGAAAGTGAGATTAACCCTTTATAAAAAATATATATATATATATAAAAATCTTTCTTTTCGGTTTTCCTTCTTTTATTTTTTAATTTTATTCACTGTGATTCCCTGTGTACATGTAAGAGTAGAAAATCCTCGATATTTAAATTTAAAGAAATAAAAAGTGTGAAGAATCAAAGCAAGGGATTTGAATTCTGGAACGACGATTTGTTTGATTAATGAACAAAAAAACAAAAAACAAAAAACAAAAAACCAAAAGAACAGAGGGATTCGAAATCAAATAAGCAAATAGAATTACTAAAAGGAAAGAGAGGATGAGGAGAGGAGCTTACGAGATGAGAAGGGTTCAGCTTTGAAGTCAATGAAGATTTAACCACCTCCTTTGTCACCCCCATCTCTCTTTCGCTCTATCTCTCCGTGCGAGAGAGAAGACACAAAAAACTATATATTACGCCATCTATATGTAGCTGCCGCCTGGCTATATATATTTGGCACAAAATTAGATACCTCATATTTACTTAAAGGGCAAATTACATGTTTGGCCAAATTACAAATACTTTGGCCAAATTACAAATACTTCTGAGATTTGAGGGATTATAAATTTTTTTTTTGAATATTATATTTACATAATAAATTAGGAAGTAATTTATTATGAAATTTAAACCTTAGAGGACAAATTGTTATGAAAATACAAATCTTAAGGGGCGGGATATAATTTCTAAAACCTCAAGGGAGTATCTGTAATTTAGCCAAACCTCAAGGGAGGTATATGTAATTTGCCCTTACTTAAAATACCAATCGTTCTATATAGTTTTAAAGACGTTTTTCTAAGTTATTGTCACGATCCAAACCCGTCCCTATGGGTTTAGCACCGTAACCGGCCAGTAATCCGAGATTACCGAAGGCCTGCTTAACAGTAATACAGTAAAACAAAGTACAGGGGCATGGCGGAAGCCAAAACAGTAAATAAACAATGTTCAATGAATTGTGACAGTCTGTATGCAAAAGACTTTTTCATATATATATGCAGTCAGTGACAAAACAGTATGTACATATATACAATCATTTAGTTCAGGGATCTAATCCCTATTAAACAGTACGGTAACAGTCTACAGTTTACAAAACAGAACAGAAGGGGGAAAACTAAAACACCCCATAGCCTTAGCTTGACAGACTCGGAACCTCGCAGTGAGGCACAGTGGTTGGCTTGACAAAACTGGAGCTTAACCCCGACGCTTCTAGCCGCGGTCTGGTGCCTGTACACCTACATATATATATGAGCAGTGAGCTAAAACCCAGTGAATAACATAATGCGTAAAGGGGTTTAGAATGAATGTCCTTACAGTAATGAAAACAATTCATTAAATCAGTATTTCAGTCGTTCAGTCAGTACAGTCATACGTGGTACATCCATTAGCATAACAGTATAGTAAACAGTAGGTCTTGAAAGACCGAACAGTCAATGATGGCCATCAATCAGTAAATAGTAGTGGTTCCAACAAGGGAACCGACAGAGATCTCTGTAACAGTAACAGTAAACAGTAGTTGCTAAGGATGCCACAATACAGTTCAGAATATAGGACATACATTCATTCAATTAACAGTATCAGTTCAGAAAGCAATACAGTTCAATTGTTCAGAAGATAATCATTTTGAACATATCTTTACACAGTTGTTACTCACAGAGTTCTGGGCTACAGTTAGGCTAGAACGCGTCCCCAGTCGCCAACCCTACACAGTTTACAAATTGAACACATACTAAGCTACACAGTTGGGAAAGATAATAACTTAATCCCTATTTGACTCGGTGTGGTTCTATATCTATATCCTCATTAAGAAGCCTTAAACTAGACCTAAGAATTCCTAGGATGACATGAGGATGCAAATATGCACTTTAAAAGCATTTTCAGAATTTCCAGAAAACAGGGATCCCGCTCGAGTGTAGGTTAATCCGCTCGAGCGGACATGCAGACAAAGGTTTCCGCTCGAGCGCATACTCAACCACTCGAGCGTACTTCAAAATAGTCAAAAGTGCTGGATAAGTGAAATCCACGCTCGATTGGGCGCTCGACATTCGCTCGAGCGTACGACACAAGGTCCCGCTCGAGCATAAATTACCCCGCTCGAGCTGACTTAAAAACAGAACAAAATGCTGGGAGCACGATTTCCACGCTCGAGCGCCAGTCACCCCACTCGAGCGTGAGTTCAAAATCTGGAATTCCCAGATTCGAACTTCAAGCTCAAAATCAAGTTTCAAACACCAAATTCAATCCTCTTGGGCTCATTTTCTGGAAAACACTTCAAAACTCATAGTTTAACATGATTCAAAGCTTAATTTGTAAAATCAAAGCCCAAAGGAAGATCAATTAAACTCATTTTCAAACCAAATTTCAAGAACATAATCCAAGCATAACATGCATGAGTTTAGCTAGCTTCCAAGCTTCCAAAACATGCTCCAAGGAGCCAATTCTTTTCAAAACAAGATGAAATCATGGACTTAACATAATTATGAGCATGCATGTAACATTTTGCCATGAAAAAAACTTAAAACTCAACAATCCAAACATGCATGCATGAATTAAGCTATAATTCAACATGTTAGAACTAAATTATGACTTAGCTCCTCAATTAGACATGAACCATGCATGAATCAACTTAAAGACACAGTCAAGAGGATGAAATTTATACCTAGGTTCCTTAATTACTAATCTTGAGGTTCAATCTAGCAAGAACTCCTTTCAATTCCTCTAATTTCCAAGCAATTCTAGATGAAATCACCCAATCTTCCTATTCTCACTCTCTAGCCGGCAATAACAATGAATAAGGTTGAGGAAAATGGTTTGCTTAATGTATTACAAGTCTCAATATGTGTAAAGTAGTGGGCCACTACTATAGCAATATGGTAAATAATGTAACTCTTGTAATTTAGTACTATTTAATCTAATTTAATCATACCAATTCAGTTTTCAGAAAAATACACTATAAAAACACATTAATTCTAAGGATCATAGAACATCAATCAATTTCGGATTCGGCCGCTGGTAAGGCCTTCAATTTGCAATTTAACCATAAAAACATGAACAGATCAATTAACAATCAATAGATAGAAAATGCATTTAAACAGATACAGTCAATCAATCAGTTTCAGATTTCAGTCAATCAGTTCAGTATTTCAATTACTTCAGTTATCAATCATAATCAGTCTCAGTTTAGCAGTAATCGGTAGTTTATCGGTAAACAGTGACGAGGGTTGTTACAGTTATCATTTCAATTTGAGATAATATTTAGGCTTAATAGACTTATTTTGAAATCAATTTTGGTTATTTGAATCATTTATTTTTTAGATTTATTAAGTAAAATATTTATGCATAAAATTAAGATGATTAACTATTGGTAGCTGTATATTTGAATTATGGGAGCTTTTTTAGTAAATTCATTCTCTAAGAGTCCTATTCCATTAGACCCATAATGTTTTGTAATATTCCATTAGGTCCTATTTCATACTAAAAGACCGAAAGACCCTCAAACAAACACGCGCCTATCTTTGAATCAAATAGTCATCTCTCTCTTCCCCTCTCTTCTTGCAGAAAATCATGTATAGTATCTCCACTATTCCAAAAATCCAAAACCAAATTCCCTATCGTCTTAACACCCAGAAGACTCTCCTTATTACATCGTCGCATCGTCTTCTTCATCATCCCTACGTTGTCAGTCGCCGAAATCATGGAAATCACCATTGTTGAACATCTGTAAGTTCTATCTTCGTCAAAATCACCATCGATGACCATTTGTGACAACGCAACCATCGAAATGGGCAAAAAACGTAAGTAATCTAATCATTCTTGTATGCAAACCCTAAATCTCTTCTTCAACAAACAACATTGTGAGCTTTCACCAATATCCCCTGTTTCTATTCATACAATATATGGAACTTTATATTGTTATTGTTTTTGCCATAATCGTTAATTTGAACCCTCAATCCATATCCCCAATTATATGGGTTTTTTTACCCAAAAACATTACATTTGCCATTATGTTGTGTTTAAATCTGTGAACATTCAAATGGATTGAAAGATGTTGGGCCAATCAAATTATTTCAGATGTTATTGTTGTTGTTGTTGAAATATGTGAATATTCACATGAAATTGAAAATTATAGGGCAAGCAAATTGTTTTAGCTGTTGTTGTTGAAAGATATGTACATTCACATGAATTGAAAGATGTTGAGCCAATCAAATTATTTCAGATGTTATTATTGTTGTTGAAAGATGTGAACATTCACATGGAATTGAAAATTGTTGGGCAAGCAAATTGTTTCAGTTGTTGTTGTTGAAAGATGTGAACATTCATATGGATTGAAAAATGTTGGGCCAATCAGATTATTTCAAATGTTATTGTTGTTGTTGTTGAAAGATGTAAACATTCACATGAAATTGAAAATTGTTGGACACAAATTATTTTAGTTGTTGTTGTTGTTGTTGTCGTTGAAAGATGTGAACATTCACATCGATTAAAAAATGTTAGGCCAATCAAATTGTTTCAGATGTTATTGTTGTTATTGTTGAAAGATATGAACATTCACATGAATTGAAAATGTTTGGCCAATCAGATTGTTGTTGTTAACCGTAATGAACATTCACATGAAAACAAAGAATTATGGTCCAATTTCCTTGTGTAAGATGTTGTTGTGATATATAATTATGTTGTGAACATTCACAACATGTGTAAATTAATTAGATACTTTGTAAACATTCACCACTACATTTAGAGGAAATATATCACTTTTGTTATCCCATGTTTGAAATCATATTTCAATTTTGAGGTTGTACTATGAAATTGGCATAACATGATTGTAGTAAGTCTGTGCATTGCTAGCCAAATTAGTACTATGAATGTTCACAACATCCTTTAATCTATTTGGGTTAACATCCAAATGTTCTTGAATGTTATTCATCAATATATAAACATACATTGATTTTTACATACACACACACTATGCACATTGTGTTTTTGTTGACACAGTGAACGTCCACATCCATGGACAGATGTGGATATTCGTATTTATGCACACAACTGTAGATATTCACACCCATGCACACAACTGTGAACATTCATATCTATGCCAATGTTGTGAATGTTTACATTTGTGCCACTATTTTAATCACATAAGCCTTGTCTTAATTTTTTTTATGCTTTATTTTGCAAATATTGCACAGAAGAAAACCTCAAAGCGAAAAAGAGATGAGTACCATGTCAAAGAAGAAAGCTCACATGCAAATTCTAGCAACAATGTTGATATGCAGCGGGTCGACCCACTATTTGTGTCTTTTCGTTCTCCAACCATTCCACCGTTATCGAAGCAACATTGTGTTTTACATGGGATTCTTGTATTGATTTTTGAAATAAGATTGTGTTATGTTGGCAAATATTGTATTGCAATAAGATTACGTTGCGTTGGCAAACATAATAATG